TTCTCCTAATTTTTCCCCTCTATAAAAAAAGTCTGCAGCGTCATCACATGAGAAAAATCACTTGAAATGCGCCACTGATCGGAAGGTGGCGCTGAAGTGATTTCTTTGGAGGGAATATTGAAGTTAACCCTCATTTGCCTCAGTAAACCTAGTTGAATGCTTGATGAAAAATATTACTCATAGCAATACCGAATCTAATTATTCAAACAAGCAGCACTATTGTAAAATGTGTAATAAAGAAATTAATAATTGCTAGAAAATCTTCATTTATAATTCATAATGTATTTTCGTATCACAAAGGTTCAAAAAGAAATTTACGATCACTTGAAGCACGTTGCGAATATTTAGTGATTTTGAGCGTCTTTTAAGAGTAGGTATAGATAACTCTTTCAAGGTGCAACAACAACGATTGCACTGATAAGATGCATTTGAGATTATGGAACTGTGAACCCGAGCAGAACGAGGATGATTGATATGCTGAGGTCAAGATAAAGACCGCGATCGGTTAATACTTGATGAGACACATGGAGAGATTTGTAATTTTTCAATAAACGATAGTAATCTTCCAATTGTGCACATCAATTTAATTGGGGTGTAATTATTGCAAGCTCACTGGTAAATAAAACTATATACGTGAATGCACGAAAGTTTGAAGTGTCCACTTTAACCGAAACCTTCCTGCTTTGTAATTAAATATTGATTGATATAAAGAATTTACGTCATTACTTAGGTATAGTTTAAAATAAATGTAAAAGAAGTATAGTGAGGAATTCTTACCTATCTTGACTGAGTGATTTGCTCTATTTCTTGGAACGCACATCAAGGAAGGGAACGCCGGTCAAACATTAATGTCTTATCAGCTAAATATTGTGGCGCTTAGGAAAACCACGAAATTGTCAATGAAACCACACTAGAATGGCGTGATTGTGCGGTTACGGGAAAACAGTTGATTGAAAAGGTGGCAAAAAAAGAGCTTAGAAGAAATGATATTGATGGGGGATAAAATATGGGAGAAGCTTCAAGTCAATACCAAATGAAAAGCTGTCCTTCATGGATTAGTGACTTCTTTGTCACACTAATCAATAAGCATTGATTTCATTTCAATCGTCATTTTTATACTGAAAACCAAAATCATTTTCATCCTATCGTGATGATTTTATCGCTTCTTTTAGAGCGTCAAGTTCATTGGTGATTCACTATTGTATTGGAGAAGGCGTGGGCGCGCATTATTCCATCCTCAGGAAATTATGGCAGTTCCGTACATTTCCGCACTTTTCACAGGAAGTCTCAAGGCATGGAAAAATGTTCACCAAAAGAGTGATCATGCACTATTTGACATGTTTCAGGTGATCGCTTGGTGATTCATTTGGAGCGCTTTCCAAGACACGTAATGAAGAGCGTCACCAGACGATAATATCACGATCACGAGCCCATCAGTGCGATGAAAGATATTTTCTGGATTTCGCTTGTGCCGAAATGGATCCGCACGGATGACTGACGAATGATCATCACTACAATTGATTAGCACCTCTGCTGAAATGGCCCAGAACAACACACAGGCATGCTGAAAAGAATCCCTCGGATTTTCACAGATTTTTTTTTTAGTTTTTCTGCCTATTCGAAGTTGCATTTGTTGTTTGCCAACAATCTCTTAAACGAGATTTATCGCGTCCTGTTTACTTTGGGGGTGTTTGTAAGGCAACTTAACAGTTTAACACTGAGCTGTGCAGCTCAGACTTGTTTGCATAGATACCTGTGATGCAATTAAGAAAAGCTGAATATACCTAATTAATTGTATATAAAATGTTAATTTCTTATTGCATCTTCAGAGAAACAAAATTTCCTCAAATAAGAATGCGTCAATTTTTTTTTGTTTATTACATTATTTCTCAAGCATTGATTATGCAATTCTAAGATTATAAGAGCCAAAAAAACGACAAAGCCATGCTTATTTAATAAAATTTTGATGTCAAAATTATTTTAACATTCGCAAAGTACTCGTATTCTTTCCTGTTATATATTCTGGATTTGACCAGAAACAATTTTACTTCTCATAATCTCATCCTCTTTGTAGTTGTCTAATAATCTTTGAGTTTATTAGTCATTCAATGTCGACATAATTAAAATATCTCGAGTCAAAAATGTTTAATGGACCATTTCGTGCAATTTTCCAATTCCAAAAAGGCAAAAAAACACACTCATAAACGAAATTCTAATTGCGATAATTGACACTGCAAATGATTCCTAAAATTCTCCAAATTAACAATATTTATTGTTTTGTCCAAATGTGCTAAAGAAGTGCCCGTGGAGGAAAAGCTTTAAAATCCTAAGGTGCCACTCACGAAAGTCAGCGGTCCATGAATTGTCCTTTGCCATCCATTAAAGCAGCTGATATAATTCAATTGGCGAAAAGCGTAACTGAATCGAACTATAATAATAGTGTGGGGAAAAATGTGAGTTCGAAAGAAGAAATGGAGAGATTACCTACAGTTTGTGTACGTGAGAGTAATAAAGTGTTAATAGAAGATTTATCGTGTGTATAATTGTTGAGTGCAATGAAATGCTATAAAACTACTCAAGTCGCTTTGCCAGAGTTGAAGAACATGTAATCACTAAGAGCGTGACAAAATGAGAAAAGTGCAAAAAGGGAGATTTAGAGCTGTGGCAAAATCTGTGTCAAAAAGATGAGAGATAGATGGAAATTGAATATGATGTCACATATAAATTAGACTTTAGTCTGTGTGCAGCTAATAAATTGTTCTCAATTGCGCACGGGAAATAATCTCAACGATCCTTCAATGGTGATAAGATACTGATTCTTGGGAACGGCACGGAGTCGATGCCAGTGTGAATGCATTACAGAGAATTTAGCCATGAAGATCACATGTCTGACATTGGATTTAGCGCAATGCGATCAGAATTGGAGAGATCAATAGATCACTCTCAGATAGTGGCGAGATGAGTCGTGCAGGCTCTGGGGATGAAAAGAGGAAGACTCGGAGCTTCTGATAACGCGCACTGCATTCAATACCACATTAATTAAGTAGTGGAGAATTGAGTGCTAATCGACAGCACGCCTTTCAAGTGACTACTGTGTAAATTTGCCATTTATTCACGTTGTGTGTTAAAGAAAGAATTACATAGAAGGCACAAAAAAGTAAACAACACACACAGTGACACTGTTCAAAAACATTATACAACAATTCCGTTTGCCTTAACTATTTAATATCGGTCAGTTTGTGGCCAGTATTCAGTGTGATCACACACGAAATTGCCTGCAGGATCTTGTGATCGTACGACAACACTTTTTTATCCCTTGTGAGCGCGCGTCTTTTCAGTGATTTACACAAATGACTTGTGCATGTGGCAATAAAATGGAATTTGTGCAGAGCACCGAAAGGAAGGAATCAGAAATATTTTTCATTTTCCCCTCGACGATCGTCCAATGATAATAATTTGCGCATACTTTATTGCACAATCAAGCACACGGATCGCGCGCGCTCGTGATAAATAGCGGCAGGAGAGAGAAAGAGCCATCCTGACCACAAGTGTAATTGAATTTATTGTAATGAGCCTGGAGTGCGCAGAAACTCCGCGGGGGATCGCATAGATCACAACACTGGCGGATGTGCAACTGCAAATACAATGACAAATAAGGAGTTGTGCGGAAGATTAAGTGCGTGAGAAATTGTGCATATAGAGACAATTTAGAACGCAATTAAATGTGCAATTCTGCAAGATATTTCACCCATGATCATCAGTAGAATGGAATATTCTATGCGACTTGTGGTGGATTCAACGAAAATTGTCTCAATACTCTTCTTCACGGAAACCCTATTGCTGCTCTTGCTTCTACAGCTGGACCTCCCCGAAACGATCACCGCCCTCAATTGCCACACTGAAGTGCAATTTTGACGATAAGATCTCTGGAGGTTGCATCTGATTCGCGGCAAATGCCAAGGAAGTCAGCAATTGTCAGAAAAATGCGTGGAAATTTTCACATTCTCCCTACTAAATAGAATTCCATGCATATTTTATGAAAATTCATTCACAAAGACGAGCGAGAGACTAACGCAACAATTACACAGTTGCAGCAACTATTCAATGGTCGTCGTGATCATCTCAACGGATAAATATTCATAATACAATTTGTGCTGTGTTTTCATTCATATTTTCCTAATATGTTTTCCCGCCACCGCGCAATTTTAATATTTTAATAAAACATCTCAGTAATTGCTCCCAAAGGAGATTACAATAATCAAATAAGTGATTGGGTGGGAACAAGCATCAATTTGCTGCAATTTTCCTCACCAACGATCACTCGCTTACGATCAGTGCGGCGCGAAACAGTTGCAAAGGTGCAAATTATAAGTTTGTGCTAAAACACCACTTTTGACTATAAAGCTTGGTGCATAATTTCATGTGAGTGTGTTTGAGAAGAAGTGCACGAACAAGATGATGTCCCCAAAGCAGTGGTTAGCCATGCTAACCTTCTACGTGTCCTACCTGTTCTTCGGCGCCAGTGTCTTCTACACCCTGGAGCAGGATCTCGAGACGGAGCGGCGAATTCAGGCCCTCCAAGATCGAATTGATGTCAATGGTATTGCCAATGAGCGAGATTTCAGCATTTCGATTGACCTCTTTTAATTTTTTCATCGCGACAAGATAAGAAAGTCCACCTTAATCCCAATGCTAAGCACATTGAGCGATGAATTGAGGAAAGAACTGATTTACTACAGTCCCTATTTTCCCCTTGATTAATCTCTAGAATTACATAGATTTCGTCGCTGCACCGATAATTATGGCTTTTTCCAATTATTTCAACGACTTTCAATACGTACTTGCATTAGGTTTATTGCTCAGCCTTCGAGTAAATTTATGGTTTTTTTTTCTTCATCAGTGATAAATTCCTCAGCTGAGAGTTTATCAGATTCTTGTTTCGGTGTCTCTCTGCAGAACTCCTCGTGGAGTACTTAGCACCCTACAATCGTACGCTACAGCATGAACTCCTGGAGAAGGTATCCGTGTACTGCGAGAAACCAGTGACCAATTACACCGAGGATAAGTACTTGGATCCATACGTGTGGACGTTCTACCACTCCTTCTACTTCGTCTTCACTGTTATCTCGACAGTTGGTAAGACATTCCTCATTATCAATGCATTTTATTCGAATGTATTCATCAATTTACTATAGGAATATTGCCTTGCAAGTGTTTTGTTTCATATGTAAATTAATTAGGGACTGTAATTAAATTCAATTTTATATTGGAATATTGGAATGAAAGCACAATTTCTGATAAATGCACTGTTAGAAACTAAATCGTAGAAAAGTCAACCAATATGAATTTTTCATACAATGATGCTTTTCATTCATTTACCAATAAATTCTTGGTGTTGTTATCTTTATATTTCGTCCAAAATCTCACTAAATTCTCTCCAACTATACAGAATAAACCAAGATTGCACAGAAATGTCCTTATGATCCAAAAGAGATGATGGATTTAAAAATGAGTAAAATTGGGTGAAAATTATTTCTCCATTCATTTTCAACAGTGTGTCCATTCATAATGTATGATTCCATTTGAACTCTCAATTGCGGAAATTTGCTGCACTTCAACTTTTCTTTATTCATCTTCAGGTTACGGAAACATTTCGCCAAACAGCACTTTCGGAAGGATGTTTATGATTTTTTATGCAATCATTGGGCTGCCAATAAATGTGATCACCCTTGCGGCCTTGGGCAATTTCTTCGGAAAGACCGTAAGCGCCTTTATCAGTCTTGAAAATATGATCCAACTGTAAACTAACACTCGATTGCAGTTCAATAAACTCCACAATCGCTACAAATCGTACAAGGAGTCGACAAACAAGCACTATGTGGCCATGAAATTGAGCTTGATCGCCCAGGTCATGCTGTATCTGATACCGGGCATGCTAATATTTATCTTCCTGCCCGCATGTCTCTTCACCTATTTCGAGGATTGGCCGTATTCCGTGTCCGTGTACTATGCTTTCGTCACGCTCACGACCATCGGCTTCGGCGACTACGCGTGCACGTTCCAGCCTTACCAGGAGCGCGTGTTCGGGATATACTTCATCATGTACGAGGTTTTTGTGATATTCTGGTTTGTCTTCGGCCTCGGATACGTCTTGATGATCATGGGATTCCTCGTCAAGTGAGACTTTTGGCACATTTCCCCGTGAGTGACGGTGCTAATTGCGAATCATTTTGCATGTTCAAGGGCCTACCAGAGTCGCCGGGTGAAGCAACTGGAGCACAAATTGGCCGTCAGTCTCAAAGAAACGCAGACGCGTGTGTGGCACGGAGTCACGAAAGACATTGGCTTTCTGCGGAAGATGCTCAATGAGCTGCACATGCTGAACTTTAAGGTATACCTTCAGACTAGTCTTTGGCCGAAATATAGGCAATTTTTTTATAAGTGTGTTAACACTTCAATGCATGTTGGACTTTATATTTATATTTTACAGCCAGTTTATTCAGAGCCAACGGACAAATTCCTTCAGTTCAATATCAATCGATCAGAATCCTGCCCAGAACTCACGATGTATCGTCCCGATTCACCGTCTGTCGTGTTCAGAAAGCGTGCTATGAGCGAAAGTCAGTATCCCAGAATGGAGGAGATGTTCCACACGCAGAGCACCACAACGCTCAACAGGACGCAATCAGACACGGATCTGGCCAAAATCGACAGAAAGAGAACATTCGAAGGGGCAAAGAATGTATCACAGACAGGCGAGCTTATAGCACAACTGGTCACAGCTTTGGGCCATTACAGAGGTCCCGAGGATGATCGACAGAGTGTCCTGGAAATGGGAGGAGGTATTCATGGGTTTTCCGACAATGAGATTCTCGCCAGTGAACGCACGTGGTCTGGATGGTCTCTGCCAACATCTGAGCGCAGCATCAGCTTGTCTGGACCACCTCAACATCCTCGAAGAGAGAGAACCGCGTCTGAAGTGGCCGCTCCGATCTACACCAAGACTTCAGATGACAATTACGAGTGGACTTGGAGCAGCAACAGTGATCCTCGGATTCTGCGTCAAAGATCAGGCTCCCGGAAGGATGATCTGTACCGAAAATCCTTCGGGATTGACAAGAGAAACTTCGATCTTTCTGTTCAAATGACTCCGGATCTTGCGCCGCCGGCCACGAATAAATCTCTTCTGGGACGTTTTAAGAACTTCCGCAAGAGAGCCATGAGTTTCGCCGCCGGCTCAAGCTGGCCTGAAGATGATCCTGAAGCAGCCCGCGATCAGTACACAGTACCTTCTGAAAGGAACACCCAGCTGAGCACTTTCCTCACCTCGACAACTAGTCGTCGTCCAAGCAACTTCACATCAGCGCTGCCCGGCAAGGATGCAGATACGAATGTTCTGGAGAGAACCACTATTGCTGACCTCATCAGAGCTCTAGAGGTGATGCATACGAACGCAGCCATATCAAATATGGGAACACCACCAAGTAAACACAAATTCGAGAGCGTTCCGCAGCCGAAGATGCCCTCTCTGCTCACCCTCTTCCCTCGGAATATGAGCATAGAAAGCAATAATGACTCGATCACGTCCGTCCACTCGGACAGACGCCGCGGCTCCCTCCGACCAGCACTGTACAATCGTCCTTTGCGTCGTCAGTCTGAAGCGATGATCTCAGAACTGCGCCCGCCACCTTATAATTCCATAGACTCGCCCCAAGTCATGAAGCGCCGTTTCAGTGTCCGTCCATCCGCCCTCAGCATCCCACCCGGCCAGGCGCCGCCCATCAGCAGAGCCTCCTCCTCGTCCTCCATCCACAACGCCCCGGTGGCACGCAAAATCTCGATTAGACCCAGTCCTCTGGCACGCCAGCAGTCCACCCAGTCAGAGACCGGTCCCATTCCGAAGCCAAGTTCCATCTGGCGCACCGCCGTCACCTCCCGTCTGGGCACGTCGCGGCACGTCAGCCTGACCAGCCTGTCGGAGAGAAAGAAGGGCGAGGGCACTGATACCAACTAGTCGAAAGCAGCTGAGAGAAGATCTATTATACTCTAGATTAGGCATGTATTAACGATGTTCAAGTATGTAAATAAGAATATATTTGCAAAGTTATTATATACAATTCTCTCCTTTTTCTCTGTATATATGTAGTTAGACTAATAATATAATATACCTTATGATGTACATAAAGAACAAATCTCAAATGAGATCCAATGTCTTACATAATATATGCAACAATTGGATTACTTCTCTAATCTTCTGCCATTATCATCAACTTTTAAGACTACTTGATAACACACACGCGAAAATAATATCTAAGAAGTGAGATACAGTGTTGGAATGGAATGAGGAAACATACGATGATGGAGAGGAAATGCGTATAAAAAGTGATAATTTGATACATCAGTCTTATATTGTATTACAGCGTACTAAATATCCTAAGCTATTTGTTAATTGAAATGAGATAAAAATGCTCAAGTATCAAGATTATTTCGGGAATTGAATCATGCGATATCGCCCCAATATCGCGTGGTTAAATTAACGATTTGCTTCTTACGGCATTCCTAAGAGAAAATCAATTTCCACGCACTTTTAGAAATTGCATTGCTTATACACGGCTACTTATTCATCTAATTTCGCCTCTAGTTTCCAGCAGCAATTCGCTGATCGCAAACTGGCTGTAGAGATACACAGGAAGAATGCTTGAAATGCAGAGTGTGCTTGTGATGTAGCTCCCGGAAGCGGCCTGCGGAGAGCTAAAGATTGTCATTGTTGTTGTGGGAGTTAACGATCTCCGTGGAAAGTGAGAGGACGGGAATGCGATCGACTAGTGATATGACAGACGGCGCCTGAGGACTCTCCGGCGCCGGCTGGATCTGCTGGCTCTGCAGCTCGGTGAAGATGTCAATGAGATTGTTTATGCCGATGAGGTAGCCATCCTCATGATTGCCCACTTTCCACTTGCTGTTGTGATCGATGGTCACGTTGGGCGGTAGCGCGATTGTCTTGGCGAAGTCAATTAGCCAAATGCTCGCCTGAGTGCGATCGTGGACAAACAGGAGCGAGCTTCCGATTACCTCGTGAGTCTTAAAGAATTCCGAGCACTCCAGTGTCGCTCGGATCGCCTTCAAGCGCTGAATGTATTTTGGCTGTGTGCGGAAGAGAAGAATATTGATGAGAAGAGTGGGATTTCAAATAAATAATTGACTAATTTGTGAATCATGATGGCATGATCATAAGCATTGCAGTTGATATAATACTTACCACAGCATGGGAGAAGATTTCGGTGAAATCCCTGAAGGACTGGAGAATTTGCTCCCGCGATTTTGTAGTCTTGAAGTCTTTAGAGCTCGTTCCGTCAGCCTTCTTAATGCCCTGCCGGAAAGGAGATCGAGAAACAATTTCAATTCCACTGTCGAAATTCCTTGCATGCTATCACAATTAATTGTACGTTTTCACATTTCTATCGACCCGCAGCGAAGGTATTTTACCGACAAAGGCACGCACATGTTCGCCGATCGTGAGGGTGATCTCTGTCTCCCTCGCCATGGTAAAATCACTTATTAGCTGGGAAACAATTAAATCACGATCTCTTTGGTCAATTGTGACCCTTTCCACCTTCAATTCATTTGCCGCGATACAATCGTGAGAAATCTGGTATGTCATGCTAATTAGCAGTTGCTCTCGCAGCACAATGCACTTACCTCTATCCGGAAGCCAAGGGTCGCGGTGCTGGAGATCGTCTCTCGCCACACCATGTAGCGTGGCTTTGTGACACCCTTCACGCGATTCTCATCCTCGGTTGGCGCATTGGGATCAATCTGGATCATCTTCTCATACATGTCCTTTCGCAGCTTGGGCTTCTCTTTGGCTTTCGACAACTCCTCCTCCAAGTACGTCCTCACGCCAATCTTGCAGTCCATCACGCATGGTTGATAGAAGTCACTCAGCAGATCTTGCAGTTGCAAATAAACTGTAAATCGAGGAGAAGAGACATTTTGGTGAATTCTAGGGATTATGGCAATTTAATAGAGAAAATCCTCACATTCTCCATTGTCACTCGTCACTTGTCCTTTGTATTCAGGAACGTATGGTCGCAAAACGTCTTTCATCAGGATCTGCAAAGAAGAACATGTGTGTGTGTGTGTATGTGAAAAGGAGATCACGATCTGGAGGGATTTCGGTAACTGCACCTGGAAGCACATCTCCTCCTTGGGACAGAGCTTCTTTAATACTGTCCCCTGATCAGGACCTGCCTTGAAGTTGCCCTGGTGACCCGCGAGCTGAACCCACGGATATCTCTGCTTCTTGTAGGTCTGGAAGAAGGGCGTCCACTGGACGATGTTGCGTAGCTTTCGCCATCCTGATGGCTGCATAAAGATCAATTAATCGTGTTGTAGCCAAGAGAGTATATTATGAAATGCGATATCAATTAACTGCACTTGACGTGCAACACCAAAAAATTGATTATTTTGCCTTTTCGATTAACAGAAATAAATGCGCGCACCAATCAGCGAGGGAGAAAGGTTCAGTGTGATGAAAAGAATTAAAATTTAGTATGTGCCATTTTTCGATGGTCGACAGAGACATACTCTTTTCGATGCACCCATAAAAGGAAGGAGAGTGCAGATATTGTCACTTAATCTCAAGTTACTTCCAGCGGTGGTTCATGCGATATATCTCTTGCTCAAGGTGATACCATTTACTTTGATATCACTCTCCGCGGACTTCCATAGAACGGTTGAGATGCTAATAAAATAATTGTACAAAAATACACACTATAAATTCCCACATTAATGCCTATAAAAGGCCCACGGTAAGAGTCACTGATTGACTCTCCGCCAAGTGTAATCTCTTTTATTGCATACCATCGAAATAATACCTCATTAATGATGTGCACTCGTTTCAGCGTCATGCGACACGTGCCTCATTATCGTACATTTCCCAATACACTTTGTATTTTGCACGTCCTCATTTGCACCTCTCAATAAATTGAAATTACAAATTTCGCGTGTCAAAACATTCGTTTATTATCTCTCGACTTGACGCCAAACAATTGTGAAGCTATAATAAATGCAGTATCGACTATTCGAAAAGCCTGTGGACGTCTGGGAGAAAATATGTCAAAGGCCACGCCCGTTTGGATGCTCCGCCCACTCGTTAGGGCTTCAGAGCCAGAAGATCTGATAAAGGATTAATTTTTCTCATCAATCGCAGATTAATCACAAGCTAAAGTGGATGCTTATCCACACATTTTTTATGCCTGCGTCTTCCTCGCACCCTTTTCTGGAAGCTCGCAACATTGCGAACATGCGAATTGACATGTTTTCGACTGCGCCACATATTCGCGATGGGGAGCAAACTGGCAAAGAAATTATCAATGACTTTTGGCTCGATGATTCCGACGGGACCCCAAAAAGGGGCACTTGTCTTCGACTGAGAGTTGATTTTTCCATTTTGCGACACACTCACAACTCGAGCATCGTGACAATTTGTATGTAATTCGGCTTGTAACGTCTTTTTTCCCATTTCAATTTCATCCATCGCTTTCCATATTCATAGGTATTCATCAACGAGTGACTGGGAATGCTGATCGATTGGATCAGACATTTAATAAAATAAAAATGACAAATTCTTACTGGCAGAGAGCAACTTCCATGCCGATCTGCGTTGAATCTCTTGATCTCTTGTCCCGAAAATCCGATGCGTGTGATATAGAAGATATCTTGTCGGTGTAATCAAAAGAAAGCAAATTTCAGTCAATATCACAAGTCTCAGCTCAATATTTATTTAATTATCTACATTTCAAATGCGATTTCAGGAGATCAACGCTCAAGATTAGACGTGAATGTAACACTTTTTCGGAGACTTGCTTAAGATTTCACGTCTATTTTTACATTACCCACCACGCATTGATGTTGTTTGGAAATGAAACAGACATTCTGAATCATTTGTTCAACATGTCGATGGAGATCTCTTTGTTAGAACACCCAATCAAAGTCCTCAAGCTAATGCCTATTGAAAACTATCAATCTTCTCTTTGTGGGCTTTTTTGCCAAAAGCCTTCCATGAGATACAAAACGATTTTGGGTGAGGAAAGAAAAACATTTTAGAGGAGAATCATTAATTTAATGATACATTAATTGGCACTATTAATTGTGATAGAATCAACGCTGTAAATAGTTCAGTGAACCACAAAATTATTGGAAGTGCGAAGTAATACGAGATTTAGCATAAATTGATTCAATATCACTGCGATAACTCACATATGTTTGTAATTGAGAAGTTCCCGGCGGCCACTTACAGATACGCAGTCGCCTTTTCTGGACGGTATTTTAATGTGACTCAATGAATTTTTCAAGAGAACTCATTGTGGTTTAATGCGGTTTGGATATTTTGATGTGAAATTCCGCGAATGCCATTGATAAGATCACTATGGAATTCCAGTACGCACAACACCAGTGTGTCTACACGGTAGTTCCTCATATTTGTATCCGATAAGACATCACCAATTGTACACAAGCGAATCGCGACAAACACCGGAGGACGAAGCAACGTTGGCGGCAGCATCGCTCTCTGAATAATGTGGCAAAATTTGAATTTCGTAATTGCACGATGATCAGAAGTGCCGGGGAAAAGAAAGAGAATACGAGATCCAAGGCGATAGAGCACATCTCTTTGGAAAATTCCTGAAAGTGGATAAGCTCGTATGGAAATTCCGTACGTTTCGTGTGGTTTCTTCACATGCTAAGCAGAAAAATCTGTGCGCGAGAATATTCCCTATTTAAACCAGTTGTTTGTCGCATCAGTTCTCATATTGACGTCAATAGCGTCACCTTTTTATTGTGGCACACACCAATCTGGAATTCTTCACAATTTCACAAGAATAGTGTGTCTCCGTAACACGTATAGTTTTTACGCACACGATCGAGTCAGAGATAGACGAAAATTGACACTAATTTATTTTAATTAATTTAAATCATCTTGCAAGTCATATTGGAAATTATTCCACTCTTCTATTCTCACTCTATTTATAGTCGCCTATTGTTTTCTGAGTGGAAGAAGAGAAATTGCAGGAAAAATTCTCTGATTAAAGTGTTGTTTTTCTTTTTTGTAAGAAACAGCTCGCAGACGAGGCATAAAAACGAATTTAATGCGATTTTAATAACGACCAAAAATTAAGAAGAATTTTGGGCTATTTCAGCGGGAATTTCGTTGCTCATGTACAGAAACCTCGATTCAACCAAGATTAATTCATCTCTTTTACGCTTTGGGCTTCTGAGGAAGCAAAAAAGTATTCAAACCTTGCCCGTTTATTCCAAAGCAATAAAATTCAGTGTAAATAAACAATCTGAGCAAGCTTAAAGTTCATCCCGAGAGCGTTGAGATCGAAAGCAATTGATAATGTTTATTATTAAAATATTATGCGAGACAACGTGTCAGACTTTAACACATTTTTTGTAATAGTGCGGAAAATAATCAGTCTTGGTTATGTTTTCAAAATATATTATGTGCGTTCACATTGCAAAAACGCACGATAAGAGCACGAAATTGGGCTAAAGTCTTAAATTAAGAGTCACACTGTGAAGGGTATTTCGCATCCGCCGTAAGTCCAGACAAGATTTACTAAATGGAGGGAGGTTAATTTCATATTTCTCAGCACTTTAGCGATTCAATTTTGCTTGGAAGTGCGATTATTCTGTTCATGCGAGGATGAAATTTCGCGGCAAATTGCTATTATTATGGCTAACGATCATGTGCAAGTGAGTTTTAACCTTAGTCTCCTTGACAGGGAAACGCGTATCTGGAGCATCGCTGTCCCACTCGGAGCTGAGATCGTCACTGGAAGCATCACCGAAGTCCCTGGGCATCGGTACCTCAAGCAGGGCCATTTGGTATTGCTCATATCCTGGACAGAGGCTCGAGCCAAAGGGCGAGGAAGGCGATGGCGTGCGTCTGGACAGGACTTGCTTCCTTAGACCACCCGAGGAGTTATGATGCACGGATTGTCCGGTGTGTGGGATGAGAAACTTGGGCTTCTCCGCCGAAGCCATGGCCTTCCTATAGAGATTCGAGGAGCTCTTCTTCCTCGTGTATGGCGCCTTCCGTCCACTGGCTTTCTCATGCTCCTCCTCAACATCGGCATTGTCCACATCTTTTACACACTCATCATCTTTATAGTGATACTCACGGCAGCTCATCTTGTCGTAATCTTCACTGATCAACACAACTGGACAGGAACAAACTGGCATTTAGTCTCTTATCTGGTCGCCGCGCGGAAATTCCACGAAAACACTAGCAGACTGAAGTGTTCACTCAGAGGTGTCATTAATTAAATTTCAAATCAGCAAACACCGTCCGCCTAGCCTGAGCATTAGTGCAATCAATCAATTGAGTGCCAAATGATCATTTTATTCGCAGCTTGAGGCTCGTCATTAAACTCCACAAACTATCGATGTGAATCTCATCTCTCGAGCACGAATTAAAATTATCAATTCAACTGAATACACACCTCGCAAGTCTCGCCGGCAACTCACATTGAATAGGGCACAAGGGGGATAGTTTAGGACAGATTTAAGTAAATGAAGACAATACAATTAAAGACATTGAAAACAGGTTTTCAATCATAACCACGGAGAAATGGCATCAAAAATTCCTCAAATTTGAATATTTTCGAACTAGAATTGCTCTGCTCTCCCCTACATCTTTTTTCCCTCAATCATTTCACATCAATAGAGTAATTTGCGCACTTTTTGCCTTCTCACTTTCAATCTTCATATTTTTTCAACCAGCATTTTGCCCCGCGTCAGTGCAACTTCAGCGAGCAATCAAGTGAGATGAATTCATGTGCTATTATCGCAATATATGCATCATGTGCATTCAAATTGTAATCGCGTGATGAGCCCACTGTCCCGCGTAGTTTTCTGAGAATTGTGATTCTCCTGCAAACATTGCAACTGCCGGATGAGAGTTATTTCAATTTCCCACATTTTTCGGCATATTAACATCATACATATGTATATTATATGACATACAAAAACTGTGAACTTTTGTTGAAAGTAATAAATTGTTGGAGCGCACAAAATTGATTTATGATTGTGCAGAGATTTTTTCTAGTAAATATCCGGAGATTACACCAATTGTTTTGCTTATAAGTGTTGTGCAATTTTATACAATTAATCACGTTTGCTCAAATTGAATTATTGCACCTCTAGGGCTCAGAATATATATGCGAGATCTCTTTTCAATCCCTCTGGCTTATGACAGTTTTCCGCAATACGGCGTCTTGGGCAAGTGTAGATGATATAAATCATTCAAGTGTACACAAGAGACCCCATTAATAATAACATCATACAATTAGATGAATAACACAATCCTTACTTCTGTGCATTGACACCCCACTTGTGACTATTTGAGGCATTTCAGTTATTTATGATCTTCATTGCAAAAGCCCGAACAAGATTGAGTCTCTGGTGGCTTTAATCCTTCCATGCCAAAAGAAGATATTTCTCCATAGACTAATTCCACATGCAACACACTAATTTATTATTCAATAAATTCAGTAGTCATCAGTCACTTTTCCCGCCGCGCCACTTAAATTTTCTCTGCAGTGGACAATAAGAATGTCTTCTGGTCCCAGAGCAATTGAATATTTAATGTTGTCCACAGACCGCACAGCTCTTGATGCGCGCACAGACGTTTCACGAACCAAATAATGAGGCTCGCGCATCACACCGAGACCCCCCATAAGTGGTGCTCTTGTGATTAATGATTCGTCCAATTTGGCAGTTTGTCTGTGAATAAATTAGTCAATTCGCACGCAATCGGGTTATAAATTTTGGACTCTCTTTACGCGGCATCCAATGGGCGGAAGAGGAGGTGTGCCCATTGTATTCACGAAAATTTATCACTGCGATCAGTGTGCGATTGCGCATTTGCTCGCGACAACCACAAAGAGTATGCGCTCATTGAGGACAATCTATGCTGAAAAATCGATCAATCATGCGTGCTTGCAAGTGTGATTTTCCCCACTAGAAAACCCCAAGAGAGATGCCATTGCAGCTCTGCAAATTCCACATTTAATTAAGTCTCCGCAGTGCCCATAAAAGCATGAAGAATGTGACATTTAAGTGTCTAATGGGCGAATTTCACTGAAAAACGTGCTATCAAAAGTCAACGTAAGATTATACTTTATCACCGTTTATCAAATTTCTGGCAAAGTCGAAGTGTGAGTCACATTGATCAGACGAATTGATAGGCAATCAAATGGGATTTCAACAATAGCTCAACTCATTAGTCAACACAAAAACTCCCGCTCATCATCAAATGACACTCAGGAACACGGCAACAAAGATAAAAATGATAAATTTAATTTCATTTGCCAGAGGATCTTGCAGCAATTGCAACAAAGTGCAGGGACATCAAATCGCAGAACAATGCGTTGTAATTTCTCAAATATGCCCAATAAAACTGTGCGCACAGTTAAATGGGAAACGAAGTGTACAACAATAGGAGTGTGTCAACGAGCCTCAAGTAAATTTGATGTTGACTGGTAATTTGTGGAGCAGAACGAAAGAACCAAAGCACTACCTCTCATTAATTCCACGTATTTGCACAGTGCTTCTAAATCACTTTGGAACTGCGAAATTCATTGTGCGGTTTCCGTAAATAACAGTGCAACTCCACTGAGCAACAGGGACTTTGCTACTGACGTGCGAAATTGAAAACTCCGTGCGAAAGACACTCGATCGCGATCGCGGACTTGTGCAAACTGACTCGAGCGCGTGCTGCTCGCAAACTGCCACCGCGTTAGTCCAGAGAGAGCTCGAGTGGCGGGAATTACTGTATAGTATCACACAACATGAAGTCAAGTCACCAGCGGCGGCGGAACTTCCTCATCCATGCAATCACTCTTTCTCCACCACGATCCACACACGATCGCACACACATACGCTTGATCGCCGAGAGGGAGAAATAATGGTAATTTGTACTTTTTCTTCTTTGACTAAAGAAGTTGTTCAAAATGATACAGGGACACGTAATAGAGACACACACTCTCCGAAACCCATGATAAATTGTTCAAATTAATTTTACAGCAATCCCATATTTTACCGCGCCTCCCCACCTCCTTCTGCCTACATCGTGGCGCTCGCGATCACATATTTTCCCAATCGCGCGCGCGCGCGCGGCAAATCATTAACTTCAAGTGCATGTCGAGGAGGAGTGAAAATATACTGGACAATATTTAATGCCACACACCACCATCTGCTGTGACAACACTTATTTACTTGCACAACTGTGACACCTCAAGTGATCACGTGGGGAAACAATTCAATAAATTGAAGGCCTTGCCCGGGACACTTCTAAAATCACTTTCTGCACGACACAGTGCAAATATTTACCGAAAAGCACTTTCAATTGCCAATGACGATTATTTCACACTCAAAATATGATAATTCTATTGCCGTTTGAACTGGAATGTCGCACATTCCGTATACAGCTTGATAGTTACCTCACAACCGGGTGGAGCCTCAATTGGGCCCCCAAAAATCTCAGCCAACAAATCCCGCGATCTCACCACGGCAGTAACTCAGCATTTTAACTCTAAATTATACACATTTGCCATGAGCGCCGCCACTTTTCGAGTAGTGACGACTCATGGGATCCGAGATGCATCATAACAAACGCTGCGATCATACATCAATAGACTTAACTCATTAGTACTTATCGCGTGATCACTCGTTTATATCGTCATAATTTCAACAATCATTTTAACCTACACTTTTGTTTTTCACACATTGAAAATCTATGAAAGATCCTATCGCAATTTTAACACATACTGACTATAAACATACAATTATACTCTCATTTGGGGCTTTTGGCTTCATCTCTTATGAAAATGCACTTTGGTGTGGCAGAAGTTGATGTTTGACTCGAAAGTGGGAAGCTGAATGTGTCGAAATATGTAGCTCAAAGTTGATTGTGTGTCGATGAAAGAATGCATGATTATGACGGGTGAATAAATTTTATCCGATTTTATTGCCCCACAGAGCAGTAACAGAACCATATAAAGAGGCAATTGGGCGTGTTATTCTTAGGAAACAATGTGCATTCCTATGAATCTTATGCTTCTTTTATCATTGCAATGGCCGTTGTAGCAAATTACGCAAATCATGCCCCTATCAGATGGTCATAATTTTCAATTCAATGTGTGCCAATTCAATAAAATGCCCACCTTCGCCCCTCTTCACCGCCTCATTGAACAGGAAGGATAGGCTCTGTGGACACAGATTCCTCCGCTGTTATTTTGCCCACTCTTGCAGTTCCGTTGAACTTTCCACCATGTCGATATTGTCCACCACGCACGGGACAAACCCAAGTCTGAGGTAAATGCCTCTCTTGTCAATTGAACATTGACAGAGGTTTTGTGTTTGGTGGATTTATTAACTCCCTACCGAATGGCGATCGTGGGGGGAAAGCGATGGGGCGAAGTATTGAGATTGCGACATGAAATTGCTCTCTGTCGCCACCAATTGACAATGGCAGCAATTAGTGGGCATCACAGATTGTTCCCCTGGCATCTTGTATGGGTTACTTATCGCCCTGCTTAGCCTGTCTTTGGACTCACGTAATGTGAGCGTTAACAAGGTGAACCAATTTATTGCCTTTGCATTCCCCATTGAGGACAGTAAATTACCTTCTTCTTGGCCAGTGCCTGCTCTACTGGACTGATTGTGTAGAGATCCACAATGCCCAGGAGACAGTCATCGCACCGGCAGACGTCCTCACCCAGCGCCAGAGAGCCGAGAGATCCAATGCTGCTCGTGGAGTCCAGGGAATCCGTGCGAAAGAGACGACTTCCACCTGGACCGGCGCCACTCTGCTGTGCCGCCATCTCGATCTTCTTCGCCAGTAGCGTCTCCATGAGTGTCGGATAGAGAGCCATTTCACACTCTGTCACCTCTGACCACAAAGCTAACCCCACTGATCCTCGATGGCACTAAAAGAGCGGCACTGCTTTGCACACGCGAACACTCCGTTCTCCACCTTTGCTCGCCTTCATCGAATGTTGGTTGGGAATTGTCGAAGAATGAATTGCCATGGGAGAGTAATTGGTGAAGTGGTCAAATTGGAATGTTCATGCCTCACAAAAAATCATCGATTAACTGTTCTCTAAAATTCCAACACTATTTTTTCAGTCTACACTCTAGAGATTTTCGTATATCCAATCAATCTGCGGATTATAGCATTACTTCTCTGCATACAGTTGCCGAAGCGTGCAAGAGTCATATGAAATGAGTCAAGAAATATGCACAGAGAGAGAGAGAGGAAAAAAATGTGTTTGCAACAAGTAATCTTCTTAGCGATACATCTTCCTTCCAATGTGAATTCACGGAGCTGCAGAAAGCTGGAGATTGCGTGATTGGAGATAATTTGTGAATTGTTTAATTTGCTAGCGTCTAAAACACTCGATCGCTGGCTAACGTGTAGAATTGGACATATCGCGATGACTTCTGGCGGGGAATTAATGTTTCTCTCGAGGAAATTATTCACCACATAGAGATTGATCACTGCTTCTACTGTAAAATTCACGTTCTCCAGACTGTGCACTAAGAATTTCCTTATCGCCGGATACTCGGAGTGGGGAAATAGCTTATCATAGTGCTGGAGAAAAACATTTTCTCTCTCAATCATCTCATAAATTTGTCACTATCTTCAACCAGTCGCGAGACCTCATCTTAATTATTGTTTGACGGCTAGGAGAGAAGAAGAGGCCAGTGATTGTGATCTTCTGTCGCAGAAGAGGCAGTTTTTGTTGGCGGGAAATTGCTATCTAAAGTGTCTCTTCTCCACTATGTGACTTACAAGTAAAACACCACCCTTTTCACATATATTTCCTCCCAGCGATCTATCGCCACGGAGTGAATCAAACATTGTACTGTTGGGTGTCTTGTATCTGTCTACCAGCGTATGAGACGTTCCACTATCATTTATAAAATCCCTTATCGTAAATTTATTCTTGTCTCCAATAAATCTCTTACCACAATATTCGGTTCTAGACAGACACTCTAGAAGAAAACAGTGGCTTTAATATTTGCAGTGCAAATTTTGCACTCACGATCAACGCGGGAAGTGAAAAATTTAATCCCCAAAGAAATGCGCGCACAACACGAAAGACTTCAACGAGGAAGAACACGAAAGAAATTGTGTCACAGGTGAAATGAGAATGAGGCAAGAACGGCAAAAGGAAGATTTGGAGCAGAGCCGCAATGTTCAGGAAATCGCAGTAAAGTAATTTATTGAGACTTTGTGTGCAGCTTTCAAAGCACGTCTTCGTACTTCCTCCCTCTCAATGCAACACAAGCGAAAACGCTGAGGATAATGCGAAACCCTTTGCAATTCTCTGGATTTCTTCAATAAGAAATTTGATATTTCCTAACGCATTTCCTTTATTTTATGGTAATGAATTGTATCTATATAACAATTATGTTCAAATTCTAACGTATTCCTATGTATGTTTTGTACAATATAGAATTCGGACCTTAATGAAGTGATGTTCTTCACATGTCTTAATCTGTTCTTTCTAGCACCTGAGAGAGAATGGAAAATTTCTTATTAACAATATTAATCTCAATTCCTGGCACTCAATCTTATTTACAGCATTTAGGCCATTGTCAACTGTGTACACAGAGCTGAACATCGAAGAGAACACACGGGAGAGAACATTACTCTGCAAGAGCGCGAAGATCATTTTTTTCGCAATGAAGAATGTGCTGAGCTTGCATATGGAATGTCGATTCATAAATTAATCGACATATAAATAAATAAAATATACACCATCTTCTCTCTCTCAACCCTCTCAACGATCGATTCCAATTCGATATATTTATGCTGTGATCATGTAGATTTATAAACAACATTCATATTGGCTACACATACAAATCAACTATAAATTTCCTTCTCTGCGCGGAATTGCGTGTGTAAGAGAGATTCTAAATCAATTTTCATTTGTAAGTAATACTCCCTCCTCGCTTTTTGTGTCTTCATTGGCTCTTTGTGGACATTTCACAATTAGAAAATGATGAATTCCACCATCAATTTTACCTGAGAGACTTCAAATCATAAATTCCACCGGGCAAATCGTTCGCAATTTATGAATTTTCTCATATTCATTCCCGTGAGAAGACAAGTCATTTATAGTCTCATGAATGTGGCACTTCGTGTCACCCCTTCGCGACCCAAAAGATTGATGCTTTATTTACAGATGCGATCATTTGACATTGCGCTGCCGTAGGCTAATTGAATTAGTGGAAGTCAATCAACAGTGTTCAGATATGATTGGTACAGATCGATCTCTTTGTGATCTTGTGGCACGTCCACAATCGCAAAGATCGCTATCGATTAGAATCACTTTCTGACTTAATTATTGCCTTCCGAACTATTTGATTAATGTTCTCTCTCTTTTCTCTCTGTCTTTACGTGATCAATTTCCCACACAATAAACCGATGAAATGGCCAGCAAGAGCTTCCCTTATTTGG